CCAAATTTGCTGAAATTGTCCACTCTTGATATTTAGGAGGTTATAGGGTAATATGTATTTTGGCTTTTTTTGGTTTTGGCCTTGTAGTCTGGGGGTGCCGGGAGTTGTAGTCCAACACTTTTTAAATTGTGAGTCTTAAAGTTTGATTTGATTGTTTTTCATATGTATACTATTTTAAGTGCTATTATGTGTTTACATTAACTAGTATTATGTGTTTTCAACTGGCGTTCTTTCTGCATCTGTTGTTGTATTTTAATCTGTTGTTGCCCACATTGATCCACAGGGAGAAGTGGGTAAGAAATAATTACAATTAGGTGGTGATGATGATGATGATGATGATGATGATAATGCACAATACCAGCTTGGGGGAGGCAACTTTGGATGCAGTCCCACAAATATTTTTAAGATGAAAGGGCCTGTGGACAAAGCATCCATATCTCTTGAATGCTGAGGTAGAGCTGTTCAGAACACGCTCTTGCATGTACTTCATTGCATTTATTTATAACCCTCATAGTTCATTTGTAGGTTCATTAGCCACAGTTGATTCTGTAACAAGCTGTAGTCGAGGGAATACAAAATAACATCATAGAGATAACATTAGTGGCCTTTTTGTGCTTGTCACACCAGATCTTTGTGAACCAGGGTGATGTTTTGGAGTGTATTAACTCTGTGCCACAATGGGACTGAGACTTAAGCAACAGATCACAGCTTCCCTTTCCATTTTTGGCTTTTTAGGAGGTTTGTGACTTAATTATTCAGGGTTGCTTTTTAAAAAATGAGCATTTTAGAACCACTCCCCCCCCCATAGGGAATATTGAGATCTTCTGAAGACTGGACTTGACATTAGATGGTACTTTTGAATGGTTAATTTCAAATCTGTTCTTATCTGAAATATCCTGCTTTCTTTCCCCTTGTGTGATATGGTGCCAGATACAGCTTTGCCCAAAGCTATAGGGAACAGCTGGCCGAATGGGAGTTGACGGATATGCATTGTGATGGACCTCTATATGTTCATCCTGGTTGGTGAAAAACACACTTGTGTTGGACATACATTTCCTTTCCTGCACAACGTTCTCAGGTTTGGGATCAAGTGGTCTCGATGGGAAGCCCACCTTGGCAGCCTGTCTCTTTGAATCTCCTTCTATCTGCTCACTAAATTCAAGAGAGACCCTCGTGTGGCAAAGCAAGCAGGGAAACAGCTGGGGAGAGTAAATTAAGCTTAGGATGCCTGCAAACAACCTGCAGGGGAAAAGAGCATTTTCTGATCTCTCCTCCCCCACTTTTCCCCTCCTCTCTTTTCTATGTCCTGAAATGCTTTCATTGCATGATTAGCTCAACAGCAATAGGTTTTTGTTGTGGTGGTTTCTGCTGCCTGTACGTACTTCTCTGTGAGCAATGTGGCTAAAAGTAGCTGCCGAAAATGGCATGGTCACTATTTCTCCATAATTCTGAATAGAAGATAAGCCTCTGTTATGGTTTAATTTCTGTTGGTGGCACATCTACCAATAAAATTGAAAATCAGCCTTGTTGAGAGGAGGTGCGTCCTTGCCTTTTTATTTTATTTTATTATCTATTTAGAGTATTTATATCCTGGTTTACTTATTGTTATTTTGACAGTTCTCTGCCCTTAGGCATACAATCAATAAAAGACATGACACAAAAGGAGAAAAGAATAACAGTGGGGAGAGAGTCAAGTCCAGCAGATACTACTGGTTTTTAGAGATGTTAAAAACTTGTATATTTGAGTAAAAACCTTCCCTGTTCATGTTCTGTGTGTTTTCATATTGTGTTTGTTTTCCATTGCACTGATGTATACCACTTTAAAAATGTTTGGATAATGAGAGGCTTATAAATAAATGGGTCCAAGAGTAAATCAAGCCTGAACTCTCCCTAGAAGCCAAGTTGCTAAGCCAAGACAGTTGTCGTTTAGTCATATTATAAGAAGACATGACTGTTTAAAAAAGACAACGATGCTTGGCAAGGTAGAAGGTAATTGGAAAAGTGGGAGATTGCATTACAAGTGGAAAGACTCCATCAAGGAAGCCACTGCCTGCGTTTGCAAGATCAAAGCAGGACACTTGATGTCAGGGTGACTTGGGAGGTCTATCAGTTCTAGGGTCACCACAAGTGGAGCCAATTAACAGAAATAACTATTTGCAATACATAAATAAACTTATGGAGTACTTGTCTTATACCTCTTCGTCTTCCTGCTGTCCAAAGAAACCCATAATCTAGAGTGTGTTGTCCAGTAAAAAGATAGTGTTTTTTTTTGTTTTGTTTTTTGCAAAAAGAAAAAAGACACAATTAGTGCTAGCAGTAAGGTCTGCTGCCAGGCTGCATTAAAATCATCATTAAAGCAAATTCCTCATGGAGGCCATTGGGAGACTATGATTATACGTAGATGAAAAGGGTTTATTTTAATTTTGTTGCAGTGCCTTCATTACTTAAATCTCTATTGTTGGGGCTCTTGTCCAGGTTGCTGTGATGTTGAGGTTAGATGTCTTTATATTTTATTTTAACAGACTGAAGTTGATTTGTCCTTGAACAGAGGCTGACTGAAATAAAACCACTTGGCTCCTTGGCCGTAGAAGGCCTTTGGGTTTGAAGTTTTTTTCAATCAACTGTCTCCTCAGTAGTCTAAAAGTAATGGGAAAGGATGATTTCTCAGTGACCGATAAACTAAATTTGATTGTGGGGTTTGTTTCCAGGACTCTCAGTGGATACCAAAATCCGTGGATGCTCAAGTCCCATTGTACACAATGATATAGTACATTAGGTCTTCTGGGGTCTCTGCCCATTGTGTGATGGCACTACAGAAATGCTGGTTCTTTTTGGCATGCATGATCTGTCTCTGTGTTGCAGCTCCCTGTCTTGGTGTCTGTTCTGGGAAGGGCTAGATTCTGACCAAATTGGATCATGCTGTAAATAAAGAAGAAAGGATTCCCCTTCCAAGAAAAGTAAGCAGAAAGTGCTCTGAAGAACTTATTATGACTCAGTCCTGGTTAGCTGGCACTGAGAGTCAGCCCAGTCATGAAGAGAACAGAGGAATATACCAGTTTCGGAGCCCTGCTGTGAAGTTTGGAAGTTGAATCATTGTGTGGCAATTGTGAGTCTGGCAGATCAGAGCACCTGCTGGATTCCCAGAAAGGTTCCGCTGACTAACTCTCTTTTTTTTTAGAATGACTAGAGAAGGAAAACTCCACGTTTTCATAGTTTACCGTTTTGCGCAGCTCAGGGGCAAAAGGGCAGGTAATAAAAGAGCCACTTTTATCAGTCTTTTTTGTAGGTTGGGTCTCGGTTGAGTTGCCTGGTTAGGAGTTAAAGGGCAAACTAGAAGATCCACCGAACTACCTTTGATCAGATCTCCTATATGTTTGTGCACATACAAAGCTGCTGTTGCTGGGGCTTACCCCACCTTTCAGTATTTTTTAAAACTACTACGATAAGGTACAGTGCTGTTGTGTGCCTTCAAGTAATTTCCAACTTACAGCAACCCTTTCATGGAGTTTTTTTGGGAAGCTTTGCTCAGAGGAAACTTGCCATGAGCTTCCTCTGAGGCTGAGATAATGTGACTTGCCCAAGGTCACCCAGTGGATTACATGACCAAGTGGAGAGTCAGAACCTGATCTCCAAAGTTGTAGCCTAATACTCAAACCACTACAGCAGCTCCCTGACAAGTTACATACTTTCATCAACAACTGACATACTGTGGAAAAAATACCGTGTGCAGTTGGCCCTCCACATTTGCAGCTTTGACTTTTGTGGATTTGATTATCTGCAGTTTTGATTAATGTGATCTCTCTAGGAATCTCTAGGTCCTCCAGTGCAGGTTTGCTGGAAGTTGACCATAGAGTTGTGCTGGAGAACCAAGAAGTTCCTAGAGAAAACGTTTCTCTAGACATTTGTAGGTCCTCCAGCATGATTTTATGATCAGCTTCTGGCAGATGCTGACCATAGAGTTGCACTGTAGGACATGGACATTCCTAGAGAGATGTTTTCTCAGGTAAAAAGAATATTTCCACATTCACTGGGGTCCTGTGCTCCTAACCCCAGGAAATGTGGAGGGACCTCTGTACAGATTGAAAGATATCAATCAATCAAATTGGTGGATGAGGCTGTGCTGTAAGCACTTTTCAAGAAGTGAGCAGGGATGTTGACTTGCTTTGGTTATATGTTTTCAAACTTTCCCGTCCTGAAGCGGTTGTAGACAATATGTGTGTAAATGCAGAATAGAGATCCAGACTGGGCATCGATAGCTAAATAGATTGCTATCCTTTTTGCTCTTTCTGAGGAAGAAGTCTTGGTTCTACAATTAAAATAGAAGCATTCTCCCTATTCAATATTTTCAGCACGAGTAGGTTTTGAGGACTGGTACCCCCTGGGTGGAATGAGGGGCTATTCCTCCACCAATTTCTTTCCTCTTCTATGTTTCGGGATCCACCATTACTTTGTCCTTTCTCCTCTCCTCCTCCCCCTTTCTCCTTTTGATGTTGAATCACTGCATGCCTATCCGGATTGGATGTTTTTGTTTCAAATCCCGCTGCTTCATTGGCTGGAGGCTGTAATCTTGGGGCTGTCTTGGCTCTAGTTCTGTCTCTGGCTTCCATTCCTCTACTTCTCTTAATCCCTTTCTCTTCTACAGGATTGTACAAGGAAAGACACACCGGCAGGCTAAAACACAAGCTCAGTCTTGGAGATGGAATTGCTGCCTTTGGTGGAAACAATAGCAAGGAAATTTTTAAGAGCGTCAAGTCATTATCATGTGTGTGTGAGAGAGAGAGTGTATGTAAATCCTTTAAAATCCTGACACATTTCAAGGCACAGGCTTGGGGCTTAGAGGAATTTGTGCCTCTTTTAACTTGGGATAAATTGTGGGCACCATCCAAAACCACATTCGTTCCGTAGAGTTAATAAATGTGTACAAAATTCATACAGAAAAATTGGGGGCTAAGTTCAGAATAGACTGAGAGCTCAGTGCCAGTGGAAAGATCATACTAAGAGCCAGCATGGCATAGTGGTTTGAGTGTTGAGCTACGACTCAAAGGCCAGGGTTTGATTCCCAGCTCAGCCATGAAAACCATAATGACCTTGGGCAAGTCACATGCTCTCAGCCTCAGGGGAAGGCAATGGTAAACATCCTCTGAACAAAACTTGCCAAGAAAGCCCTAAGATAGGTTTGCTTTAGGGTCTCCTTAGGTGGGAAAGGATTTGAAGGCACACAACAACAACTCAGCTCTTCATCTGCCACAGGAGAAGACAGACAGAATTAAACCAGCCTCGTTCAGGATTGGGAACAGGTGGCAACAAACATTAACTTATGGTCTTTTAAACTTAGAGACCATTTTACTATCCTCAATATCATACATCATTCAGTTCCTAAGCACTTGCAAGATGGTGCTGAAAATCTAAAGATAATGTTTCCATATACATGTTATGCATGATCCAGAAGCACTTTCTGGCTATCACGCTTCAAATTTCATCTATTATTATTATTATTATTATTATTATTATTATTATTATTATTATTATTATTATTATTATTATTCCTGCCTTCAGCTATACTTGGAGCAGATACTTGGAGCTGTTCCAAAGCCTCTGATTCTTACATTTCGACATACATGGGTTGACATCCTGTTAGTGACATAGCATGCATACTTTCTGTGTGAGTTTCTGTCTATTGAAAACCTATTAACCTATTGAAAATCTGTGAGCTGGTAAATTCCATATGGGTAACCAGCTTGAAGGGACTGGATTGCCCCTTTGTTTTAAAAAGAAATACTGGGATCTTTTCCCCTTGCTTTCTCTGGCTCTTAAGAGCTACAGGCTGCTCCCTGCCTTGCCTATGGTTTATTTAAATTCTGTTTCTAGAGTTGGAAACATAGCCAAGTGAAACTATGACCAAGTTGAAGAAGGGTCCAAAGTCCCAGTTTTGTTGGTTTTGTCTTCGTGTTCGTTTTAATAAGCAGAGAGGCTGATGATGTTGAGGAAGTGGATAGCCCAATTTAAAATCAACCAAAGGCAGCAAAAGAGGCAAAGCTAGGCAGGTGGAAGGTTTGTGTCCTGGGTAGAGGCATCTTGTGTTCTCCTGCTGATAATGGCTGGAAGGAAAAGACGGTGTCTCTCAGTTGAAATTCTGGATTCCTGTTAATGTGGAAATGTGTACAAAGATAACTGTGTGTGTGTGTGTGTCATCTCTCTCTGTGTGTGTTTCTCATTGGCAGGATCATAAATATTACGTTCCTGTAATCCAGAGATTATTACAGAGGACTAGGCAGTAGGTCAGCGTGATTGCATAGATACCTGGTCCCTTGTATTGTTTGATGCTGGACATTGTGTGTGTGAAGGTTGTGAAGAGTTGCCATGTCAGGGTCCATAATAAGAGGTGAGGTAGGGAAGCTTTTACATCTTGATAAGTTAAAGCTCCCCCTTTCCCAATCACAGTATGTTGGAACACATACGGTTTTTGTTCTTGACCCCCACCAATAAGCTTAATAGGAAGGGAAAAATTGCACTCTTTTTCCTTCTCTTCTTCCCCCATCTTGCATATAGCTCCTAGCTCATTTTTTTTACTGGACCACACATTCAGGGTGGTTCTGAAACAAGTAGATTTGTTGTTGTTGTTGTTGTTATCATTTATTTGTATAGTGTCATCACTGTACATGGTGCTTTACATGTAAAAGACCAACTAAAAAAACATAGTACCCTGCCTTCATATCCAAGGATGCATGTTTTACTAATGATATCTCTCCTGGGAGCAGGAGGTAGGAATGTGCCCCTAATTTCCTTGGCCTTGGCATTTGTACCCATCCACTCATACACAGCCAAAGTTACTAAGCTCCCTAGCAGGACTCATTGAAGAATTGAGATAGTCTGTTCTCCATGTCTGCCTCGGTTACTTTGCCTTGGGCAGCCATGCAGCTACTACGCCTTCTTTCTTGCCACCCAACGCAGAGACCGACCACTAGCTAGCAGGAGCAGGGCGGCGCTTCTGTGCTTGCAGCGTCAGGAAACTTGTAGTAGCCGAGGGAATGTGAACTGAGAAGTGTGTGTCTGTATCCCTGACAGGATCAAGTGTCTTTTAGAGGGACAGACCAACTGACTTTCTCCTCCTTGCCTCTCCCTGAGCAGAGCCGAAAATCTAACCCCCTTTTCTGGGTAGAAGGGGACTCTTTCCACCTTTGAAATACTTTTCTCTCTTCCACCCCACCCTCCTTCGCCCTGGGATTTATTCTTCCGTTGCACCCTGTGACTGATTTTTCAGGAAGTACTGCAATGGCAGAGGTAAGTACGTTTATTCCTTCCTGGTCACTCGCTCTTCTGTTTTCTTTCCTATAAAGTTTCAGGAAGGGTGGATTCTCTGTCTGTAGAGGCCAAGGGCTTTCTCTTCCCCATTCTCAATATTTTTAATGGTTTATTTATAAGTTTTATGGTCCATAATACTATGCAACATATTAATAAAGCCGTACTTATATGTACGTAAGTATTCCATATGCTTACATATGTAATAAATCCTCCCAAGGTGAAAGGCACTCTGGCACAAATTTGTCCTTTGGTTTTTCAAAAAATGTTTAAAGTTTTCAGTTTGAAAAGGCAAGTCTTTCATGAAGTTGTGAAGACTGAAGAAATTTCTTACAGGAACAGGGCGGAGGGGATTTGAATGCTTTCGGTCTATATTTAGCCTCCATTTAATGTTGGTTTGTATAGAAATCCCTTTTTTGGGGAAGAAAAGGCTCCCTTAAAAAAAAAAGCTTTCTAGAATATAACAGCCCTGTTAACTTTTCTTACCTTAAAATTTTTGTCACAGATAAAAGCAGCCTTGCCTACCACTTCTAAAAATGGGGAGGCTGCAATGTCAACTTGCAGTGAAACTGTAATTACAGTTTTCTTCCTGAAATTGTCTTCCGTGGGCGTCTGCAAAGCCCAGTTGATTGTGGCTTGAACCATGGTTAGGGGAAGGCTTGGTAATGGGTTGAGGTTATCTCAAAGCTGTAAAAACTCAATAAACTTCTGAGTCTGCATGATCTTTTCATATTAAACCTCCCTTCCCTCTTAGCTCCAAAACACACTGCAGTTTGAGACCACTAACTGCCCTGGCTCAGTGCTAGGGAATCCTTGGAATTGTAGCCCTCTGGTCCAGCACCACATTTCAGAATGAGTTGATTTTCTTTCTTATGGTCACCATAAGTTAGAAAGTACTTGAAGGCAAAACAACACGACACACACACACACAAAATAAAAAGTATATAAGAGAACATGACAAAGAACTGAAAAGCTAACGAAGACCAGGCTAACCCAAAACATAGGGATTCCTGTTTCCAAGTCACTGCATTCCACGCTAAAAGTGGCCTCTGCTGCTCACGGCCCAACAATGACTGTTCTGATTTACAGACCCCAAGACCATAATTGTGTGGAACTATATATGTTTAATCTGCTGTTTTTGTTCCCAGTCTACCAAAGGGTGTGCCTTCTATGGCCTCTCTTATCTCTCTTCCCTGCCACCCCCACTACCCATGCTTTGCCTGCAGCAGCAGCATAATGGAAGTGTAAATGCCATTGCACTCAAATTGGCCTCTGCTGGAATTTCCATTCTGAGCATCAAGCCCAAAGAGGCAAGGAGTTGAGTGGCTTTAATGGCTCAGTGTAGCCTTTGCCAGAAAGCCCTTTGGGCTAATGTCAAAGGCAGAGCTGGTCATCAACTGGGTGGTTGTGGAATGAGTTCTTGTAGATGCTGGTAGAGTCTGCACACACATGATCCAGGTGTTGGGTTTCTGCAGATGGAGTTGGGGGGGGGGAATAAATGGGGGTAAGTGCAACACTGGAGGATTAATCAAGTTAATGAGGCCGGAGCCTCTGTAAGCTTATCCTACAGCAGAACAAGCTGGTAATTTTTTGCTAAGAATAATGCCTCTGCTCATCTGAAAATGGCATGGGGTTGTGCTCTTGCAGCGCTGAACTTGCAGCCGGTGTTCTTCAAATTATGTTTGCATGGGAGTGAGGGTTGTATGGTTGCAAGAAAGGGTTGCAAGGGTTGAGGGACCAGAACTGCACATATAAGCAGTGTTGCATCTGTCTCGCTGAGGTCTATCCTATCAATGTTGAATTGGCCATCAGTCTTCATTGCATTCTTTCCTTGAGGGGTCATTTTATGACCAGGCATTGCTGCAGGGTAGTAGCACTCAGTAATATCAGTGTGGCAGAACCTGACGCTGGAATCTGAGCAGCAAATCTCCTGAGCTGTCACAAAGATCAAATACCAGATGCTTCCCCACTGCAAGGAATTGTTGGGTGATGACCACATCTGTCAAGTATAAAGGTGGGCAACTGCATGGGGACCAGGGGTCAATCTCTCACCCCTAGAATCCCATGCACAACAAGCCCAAATACTTCTATTTTCTTCTGCAGACCTTCTCAAAATAGCAACAGGATGTAATGGGATGTCACTTCTTGACACCATTTTGGGAAGGACTGCACAGGAAAATTGAGGTTTTAGGGCAGGGTACAGGGTTCTGGGGTCCTTATAGGCAGTATTTTTTCTGCATTTCCAAGTTTGGGGAGCTTTCTTTGTGTTCCATTTTTCTGATGCAAGCAACACAAGAAAATTCCCTGGACCAGCCAGAAAAAAGAGGGAAGGGGGGGGGTTAGTTGCCATTTAAAATAGCACCAATGAAGGCGTGAAAGGTCCCAGACATAAGAACTAGCTAGACCATAACTGTTGAAAATACTTGTAACAAATAATTGAAACAATATGCGATGTTTTATACCTGTAACAAGTAATTGAAACACTATGCAAAAATGTTTTAAGGATGTTTGTAGAAATAACACTGCAGTGTGATAGTTCAAAAACATAAAAATGTATACAAACTCCCAACAGAATAAAATAGAAACTCCACACATGACATAAGTAACGAGTCGGCAAAGGATGATTAAACAAGCAAGTGAGAACAGGGCTTCTTTTTGCCCGTTTATTTTTAAAAACATCCATCTTTCAAAAGAGCCTTCCCTCTGTCCCTACACCATCACAGGCACGTTTGGTGAAGATATGGCCCCAATGGATACCAAAATCTGTGGATG